GCAGCACCGCAGTATAAACATAGTCCCCTCTCCCTCCCACGGTTATTCTCCTCCTGAGACAGTCAAGCCCTGCCCACCTGCATAGGCTCCGATTCGAAGACTGGTCCGATCGCGTTAATCCCGGTGGCTGAAAACTCTGATGTTGCAGGGACTAAAGTCTGCAAAACTGGTTGGTCTCTGCGTTGCAGTTGGGCATCAACCCGAATGGCCAACATGATCAATCCTTCCAGATCTGGGGGAATTTCCAGCAAAAAAATCTCTCATTGGATGCGGTCAGCCAGCCCGTGCAAAAACATGTCCCATTGAGCCTCCTGGTTCCACTTACACGCCGCAGCCAGGGTGCGGAACTCGATGGAGTAATCAGCGACAGAGCGATGCCCCTGACGAAGATCCGCTAGAACTCGAGCCGCCTCCCGACCCGCCACAGCCCGGTCAAACACTTGTCTCATCTCCTCCGAGAGTGCTTGAAATGAAACAACGCATGGGTGCTTATTCTCCCCAACCGCCGTGCCCTATAGTGATGCCTTTCCAGTTAGTAACGTCATCACCAGCGCCACCTTGGACTGTTCCATAGCATATGTCAATGGCTGGAGAGAGAAAAACAGGGAGCATTTAGTTAAAAAAGCTCAACACAGCTGAGGCTCACCAGCATATGGGGCAGGTGGAGGTAGCCGGGGCTCGCTTGAGCTGCTACTGGAGGCAGGTGCAGGGGAGACCAGTGGTGGTGCAATGGGAGGAGTTACGGCCTCGGTTCTCATGTGCTGTAATTGGGTTAGGGTTAGGTTACAACACCTGTGCTACCAGTGTTTGGATAGCTTGTCCTGTGACTCTTAGTTGTTCCTCTTGGCGATCCATACGAGTGGCATTACTCGCCAGGAAGTTCTGGAGCTCGGACACACTCGCTGAATCCATAGATGGTCAGATCGTTCTGTTATGGTAATAAACAGAGGATTCAAGCGCGAGTGAAAAAAACGTTTATTAACAAAACTGGCAGGAAACAGAACACAAGGAATGGTATCACGGGTGCCACTGAAGATAATCCTGGATGTGCTGATACAAATTTCAATAAATCCCCCACCGGAATCCAGTCGGAACAACAGCTACCATCCGGAGCATGAAACAGAGAGTGATCGGCACGAGAGCTCCTCCAGGGCTAGACTCCACACCTCTACCACAACGATCTGACAACAAGAGGTAGGAAACAACTGATTATATAGGGAAGCTGATGAGCCACAGCTGAACCTGATCTGCTCATCAGCAAGGGGAACACACAAACACACACACAGAGGGAGAGAGAGAGAGAAAGCGAGAGAGAGAGAAAGAAAGAGAACGAGTAAATGGACCTGCGAACCGTGACACATTGAGCTGTAAAATGATACCTGATTGCCAAAAGGTTTTTGCAACAGTGTTATTATTAGTGTGTAAGACTATGTTGTTGTGTGTGTGTTTCTGAGGGCTTGTATGTCATGTCTGAGGGCGAAGTTTGTTTTTTTCAGTTGTTTTGAGTGGAAAGCTTCATTTTGACCTGAAAATAGGAAGTATGGGGAATTGGGTGAGAAGTTATGGATTTGTGTTTAGAGTTTCGAGAAAAGGAGTCACAATTTCAAGAAATGTGTTTAAGCAATCGAGAAAAACTGTAACTTTTCTCTTGTAGTGCTTTTCATTTACTGTAAGATCTCTTTACAGTAGTGTAAATACAATAAACGTTTCATACAGTTTAATACTGAATTTGACTGTATCTGCACCCTCTATTTATGTTGTATACTGTAACAGTCATTGACTAGCTGTCAGGGTTTGGTTTGGGTTTTGTCATGTTCATGTTTTCATGTCTTTTATTTTGTAATTGTTTTATGCTTTTTGTGTCATGCTTCCCTTGCCCTCATGTATTCATGCTATTGGTTCCTCTGTTCATTGTGTCATGTTCTGATTGGTTGTCTTAGTCATGTGTTTTGTTTCCCATTGGTTTGTTCATGTCATGTGACCCTCTTTGTTTGATACAAATAGCCCTCATGTTCCCATTGTTCTTTGTCGTGTACTGATGTTGTAACCCGCTGTCGGTGAGTCAAGTCTGTTCATGCCTCGTCAAGTCAAGTCAAGTCCTATTGGTTCCTCTGTTCATTGTGTCATGTTCTGATTGGTTGTCTAGGTCATGTGTCTTGTTTCCCATTTGTTTGTTCATGTCATGTGACCCTCTTTGTTTGATACAAATAGCCCTCATGTTCCCATTGTTCTTTGTCGTGTACTGATGTTGTAACCCGCTGTCGGTGAGTCTAGTCTGTTTATGCCTCGTCAAGCCTGTTCATGTCAAGTCAAGTCTTTTCATGTCTCGTCAAGTCTGTTCATGTCAAGTCAAGTCTCGGATTATCGTTTGGATGTTTGGATCACCTGTAAATAAACTGCATTTGGGTTCTTCACTACGCTCGCCTTCAGTGGACTGATTCGTTACACTAGCAAAAGGTTTTTGTAACAGTGTTTTGAATTGATCTCAGTAGTGTTCTCTAGGCAGTGAAGTAGTGTGTGTATTTGACAAGTTTGTGTATCATCTGAGGCCAAAGATTGAGTCTGACAAAAGAGAACATGTTTTTGACTGAAGTATTTGATTTTGACCTGGAAGTTTGAAGTTTGCACAAGTTGGTGTTTAGTTTTGAGATTGTGGTTATAGTTGTGAGAAAATGGTGAATTGTTTCATGAATTGTGTGTTAGCAATCGAGAAAAACTGTAAATGTATAATTTGAATACATTTGCATAAGAGCAAAATGTATAAATGTGTGGATAAAATATATGAATATAAGAGGAAAATATATGAATATGTGAAAGGAGAATGTAAGTGTGTGAAAGTAGAAATATATGTATGTGAAAAGAGAATATAAGTGTGTGAAAGCAAAAATATACAGTATGTATGTGAAAGGAGAATGTAAGCATGTGAAAGCAAAAATATATGTATGTGAAAGCAGAATGTAAGTGTGTGAGAGTGCCAGAATGAATTATGGTTTGTACGGCCCCTCATATATATTAGGGGTGTAAAGATACACGTATTCGTATTGAATCGTTTGGTACGAGGCTTTTGGTTCGGTACGCATTACAAACCAAACGATTCGTTGGACTAATCCTATTACATATGGAAAATAAAAGAGTTTAAAGTGTGTGAAATATGTTTTCAGTGCCACTGCGCTCAACAAGGCAACCCAAATGACAGGCAACGTGCTGTCTGCCCAGCGGCCCCGCGATAACCTCCCCTTGCTGGGGTACATCGAAAGACGATGATCTTGTATCGACGATAGCCAGAGATATTGTCAAAAACATAAATTATTGGCAATATTAAGAGGATTTGGCATTTCCAATTATTGTAGGCCTGTTACATTCTTATTTTTATTAGGCCTATTATTATTAAGTTACTTTTATTATTAAATTAATATTACAATTAATTTGCCCCACAACTGACGCGCTGCGGGGATAACAAAAGATTAGTCTATTTACTCTTCAATTAAAATGTTTTTTTTTTAAAAGCAGGTCTATATACAATGAATTAAAGACCTATGATTAAAATATTAACTCGGCAGTCATCAATAAAAATCCATGAATAAAAAGCTTTAGCCTATTTCAAGCACCCACAGTACTAATGGTACTAATGGTAAGAGTACACTGTAAAATGCTTTGTCAGGTCATCTAAAAATTTGCCTCAAATGACAAAATCTAAATGAAATGTATCCAAGTCAAAAAATATTATTTAATATGACTGAATTAATCAGTGTATATAATGTCAACAAAAGTCATATTTAAGGGTGCGATTTGATGGAAATAACTACTTATGCTGTTAACTCTACATTGTTCACTTGTGAATCAAAACTGCTTCCTACTACTGCTGGAACCTTTGAACCCTGCGGTGAGGAGGTGAGGGGTTGAGGTTTGGGACCCCTCCCTCCTGCTCGGCCCTATAAAAGAGCCGTCTCTGGCCCTGCTCTTCAGTCTCTTCCCAGACCAGCTGCATCAACAGGTAAGCAGCCCAGCCTCAGACCTTATAGCAGAGTTTCATCTGGAAACACCTGAAGCGTTTTGGAGAGTTATGAAGCGCTAGCAGAAAAATTGGTTTGTATTGAATTTTACAGTTAAACTGCAATCTGTTTTCAGCGTTTTGGTAGTAATTTTTATTGTTAAAAGTACCTAAAGTAATAATTTTGTTTTGGAGATTAATAATGAGACCTTATTGATGAAATATGATCGGTTATTGTAGACGTGTTAGCCTATTTCAAGCACCCACTTTCAAAAACAACCCGTTTAACACGAAATACGTTTCTTGTCTTTTTTTTCACTATGTAGGCTATGGGCCACAAGAGAAATGTTAAGGGAATTAAAAGACAGTTAGCTATATACCGTTATCAGCATAATTATGTTGAAGTAGATTCGTCTCTCGTCGTCTCTGAGAGAATATGCGGCATAAGATACCGAAAGCTCTGTCATTACTCCGTCATTCCATTTTTATACTTTCATTTTCTGTATAACGAATTGACTGAGATTAAGACGTTCACTGCCATAACTCTTGCATCAAGTTTGCACGTTGATTGTGTGATATCTATTGGCTCGCCTTCATGGTTTAAAACAGAAATATTTCCAACATTGCGACGTAACCAGTTACCCCCGTACCGAACCGTGACACCACTGTGTCGTATCGAACCGAACCGAACCGTGTGACCGTGTGAACCGTTAGATCCCTAATGTATGTATGTATGTGTATGTGTATATAAATATGGGGTTGAGGTTTGGGACCCCTCCCTCCTGCTCGGCCCTATAAAAGAGCCGTCTCTGGCCCTGCTCTTCAGTCTCTTCCCAGACCAGCTGCATCAACAGGTAAGCAGCCCAGCCTCAGACCTTATAGCAGAGTTTCATCTGGAAACACCTGAAGCGTTTTGGAGAGTTCTGAAGCGCTAGCAGAAAAATTGGTTTGTATTGAATTTTACAGTTAAACTGCAATCTGTTTTCAGCGTTTTGGTAGTAATTTTTATTGTTAAAAGTACCTAAAGTAATAATTTTGTTTTGGAGATTAATAATGAGACCTTATTGATGAAATATGATCGGTTATTGTAGACGTGTAACCCCTTGATGGCATTTGGCTACCGTTCTGCTCCTCAGATGCCTGAAAGGAGCATCTGGTTAGACTGAAGTTCTCCAGGTCCACAAAAATGTGACTAAATTAATCCAGGGATTTCAGATTACGAAGTAGTTGAGAGCTAATCTGCTTGTGAAGCCTTTGTAACTCTATCTAATCTGGGATAAATTAGAGTCTAGTCTGATAGGCTGACATACACTGTAGGGTAAATCTAGAGGAATCATGCTGCAGCCCCAGTGTCAGCTTTCCCTTTGGTTAGAAATCTAAAACCTGTGTATTCATTGTGATTAACAACATCTGATGTGTTTGTTTGTTCTTTTTAGCCCAGATCCATGATGAAGTTCGTAGTCCTCGCCCTCGCTGTCTTGCTGGCAGGTATAAACCCACTACTTCTCTCAACACTGTCAAAACATCAGCATTGTTGTCTTGTTTTCCAGTTTAAAACGTATACCAAGATACATTTTGTTAAACTATTCATGAGATATCAAGACTTTTTCAAAGAATGCATGTATAGATTTTGTTTCTAAACCTTTTAGTTTTATTCTGGTTTTAAGAGGTTCTGGATAGTTTTTGCCAGTGGAGTAAGAAATAAACTCCATTTAAAGAAATATTTTCCGTAAAAAGTCTTTAATAGCTCACACAATTTAGCTCTTCGTTTAAAATATTGAGAAGAATGTCTAGATAATTTTACTGAAAAACCGTAAAGCTGCAGTATATATATTTCAGAAATGTTATTATATTGAGTTAACTGTATTCAGATGAAAATGTAGTTCAAATCTAGTCAGACTGAATACATAAAGTTCGGCCCTTGTTCCAGCGTCTGAATCTGCGTTTGCCTTGCTCAGGCTGCCAAGCCCAATTCCTGTGGGACGAACCGCCGCCGCAGCTGCAGCACGTGAAGTCTGAGCTCCAGTTTTACGCAGATCAGCTGAAGCAGGGGGCGTACAAGGCCCTCACTCACCTCGACGACACCGAATTCAAAGACTACAAGTAAGAACACACTGGATGTGCGTACATCTGGTCTGGATGTAGGGGCTCCTTAAAAGCCGAATGGCTTCACTATGAAGGGTCGATTTTGATTTCATGCTTTGAGTTTAAAGGGATAGTTTACCCCAAAATGAAAATTCTGTCATTAATTACTCACTCTCATGTCGTCCCTAAGCGTAAACAATGCTGAAAACGTTGACTACGTTCTCGAAAGTATTCTCGTAGCTTCATAAAATTGAAATTGAGCAACTGATGTCACATGGACAGTTTTCATTGATGTCCTTGCTAAGTTTCTGGACCTGGGAACATTGCAGTTGAGTTGCTGTCTATGGAGGGTCAGAGAGCTCTCAGATTCCATCAAAAATATCTTAATTTTCGTTCCAAAGATGAACGAAGGTCTTACGGGTTTGGAATGACGTGAGGGTGAGTAATTAATGACAGAATCTTCATTTTGGGGTGAACTAACCCTTTAAGTAATTCTCATCTTACATTTTTACATCAAATATTCCAGCGACAGCTAACCTAAATCCTCGTCCTGTTTAGGGAATTCCTGGGCCTGTATGTGGACAACCTCCACCGCTACTTTCAGAACGGCATCCAAGCCATCAGCCCACTCGCCACCCATCTGATGGAGCACACTAAAGACAAGCGTGAGAAGCTGAACAAGGAAGTGGAGGACCTGCGCAAGAAGATCGAGCCCAAGCACAAGGAGCTCAGGCAGGTGCTGGAGAAGCACTTCCAGGAGTACAGTGACGAGCTGAAGCCTTTACTGGAGGAGTACCTGACCAAGCAGCGCAAACTCATGGAGGAGGTGAGGACCAAGCTAGAGCATCTGGTCAAGAGTTTGAAGGAGAAGATTGGAACCAACTGGGAGGAGACCAAGTCCAAGCTGTTGCCCATCGTGGAGGCTGTGCGCAAGAAGGTGATGGAGTTACTCCTGTGCCTGAAGAATCAGCTGGAGCCCTACATCGAGGAGTATAGGGATCAAATAGAGAAGGGAGTGTTGAAGTTCCGCAAGAGCGTGAAATCTGGAGAACTGAGGAAAAAGATGAACGAGTTGGGTGAGGAGGTGAAGCCTCACTTCCAGGCAATTTTCACAGCTGTCCAAAAGGCTGTGGAGAAGGAGTAAACCAACCCTTTTTTACACCTTCCCTTCACCTCGCCACCGAGTACCAAGACCTCGAGCCGTCATCATCCGGAAGGCTTTTCTCCAAGTGTAACTGACCTTCGCTGAAGCACACACACTCACACATGCTGACAATACACTCACATGCACTTTTGACAAATTCCCACAACTACAGGACTTGCATTGGCTCTAATGGGCAAATACAGCTAAGAATTAAAGAACACTAAATCCTGTTCATTCAAAAATGCCTAGCAAAAATCTTTTGTTAAGCTGCTTTTTGTTAAAAACTGATTTTCAATGTTCGATGAAATAAAATAATAAAAAATAATAAAAATCTTTCATACTATTTCTTCAATGTTGAAATGTGTCTTATTTAAGAGATGTTGGTCACACTTTATTTTAAGGTCCAGTTCTCACTATTAACAAACCATTAACTACGACTTTTGCCTCAAACTCCTAATTTGCTGCTTATTAATAGTTAGTGAGGAGGTTGCTAAATTTAGGTTTGGGGTAGGATTAGGGATGTAGTGTATGGTCTTTCAGAATATGTGCTTTATAAGTTAGGTTAGGTTTTGAAAAATTACAACAGCTTCCCCCAACCCAGAACCCGTCTAGGGAGGTTTACAATTGCTGGGTCTGTGATGGGTAGATTTAGAGTGTGGTTTAGTTCAGCTTTATACATACAATTTGTATTCAAATGTATTCAAACGACGACGACGAAGTTGGGTTAGGTTTTGAAAATTACAACAGCTTCCCCCAACCCAGAAC